CTCCCCTCGGCCCGGCCGTCCGTCACTCGCCGCGGCCGGAGCGATCGCTCCGCTAGCACCGCGCTGCCACCGCACAACCGCCGGGGGCGCGCTGCCTCCGCCGCACCGGAAGTGCGTAGCCGACGCGCCAATCGTGTGCCGGGAATCGTAGTTCTGGGGCGTAGTTCTTCCTCCGCCGCGCGTAGGAAGTGCTTCATGGTCACTCCAGATGCATGCTGGGGGCTGTAGTTCTTCGGCCGCCTTTGCCTTCGGCAGTGCTAAGCACCCGGGACCGCGGAGCGCTGGCTGGTCCAAACTGGCGTGGTATCCCGGGTCAGGGACACCCCAGCTCTCAGCGAGAGAGGAAGAAAGGATGTGACATAGCGCGGCCAGGGCCTTATATGGAATGTATGTTTATATTGAATACATATTTGGGATTAAGTAAAATATATTCTTAAAATTCATCTTCGTTGGACGTGCAGCTCAGCGGTGCAACCCTTGCCAGGGTAAGGCCCTGGGTTCGATCCCCAGCACCGCAAAGCAAAAGTAGTTCCACCCGTTTCTAATTGCCTTTTTAGAACATGGCCACTAGGAAATTTTAGTTGTATACGTGGCCCGTATTTTGTTTCCTCTGGACTGCACGGCCCTCGAGCAGAGATTTTCCAAGTGAGGCGCAGACCAGTCTCCCAGGGAGCTTGTTAGAAGCGTGATTCCCGCGCTCAGCCCTGGGTGGTGCCTGCACAGGAGGTTGGAGCCGGGGTCTGCTGCCTGGGCCGTGGCTCCTCTCGGAGAGCCCAGCTTGTGGACCCTGCTGTGGGTGTGGCCGCGCGGGTGCGCAGAGAACGCTGCTTCGGCAGTTTAGCAGGCGCTCCGGGCTGCGCGTCTCCAGGTGACGTGTGGATCCACTGTGGGCCAGGGAGGCCCCTCCCACTTCTCCCAGACTGCCCCTCAGCCGCCCCTTGGCTATAAATGAACACAGCCCCGCGCTGTGTTCAGAGTGAGCCCTGTCCCTCCCCGAGGCAAGACCCCTTTGCAGTGGCCCTGCTGTGCTGTGTCATTTGTCCCGAATAAAGTCTTCCTCACCATGCTTTATTGGTTATTTGTTTTCCTTAACAGCTGACTAAAACGAATGGTGCAGTTGGGGCAGACCTTGGTCCCTGGCTACCTGCACACACTCATTTCATCCATTCAGAAACCTTAACGAGCAAAGATGAGCCAGGGAGAGGTGGAGACCCCGGGCCAAGCAGGTGCAGGGGCAGCCTCTGACTCTGTGGAGCAGAAGAGGGAATTGGGGGAGGGGTTAGCATGGGGCCGGGCAGCCCACCGCCCCCTGGGACGATGGGACATACACACACCAGCTGGGAGTGCGGAAGGGGACTGACCTGGCCTGGGTGAGGACAGCAGAGACTGAGGAGGGTAGGAGCCCAGCCAGTAGCTGTGTGTCCTCCAGGGAGTAGTGTGGAGGTCTGGCCCAGGACAGTGAAGGGCACACAGATTTGAGGCCGCAGGCAGTGAGGCCAGCAGGACTGGCAGAGCCTGGGGACCAAGCTACCACGGTAGCTGAGACAGGAGGAGGAGGAGCAAGGAGCTGGCCCACGGAGGAGCACGGAGCTCGGCTTGGGACGGGCGCCTGGATGTGCAGGGACCCTGGGGGGAGGTGGCCAAGGGGCACTGAATGTACAGGGCTACCATTCGGGAGCCAGGCCTGGGCGGGGACAGTGGCCAGCTGTCTTCAGGGCAGCAGTAGCGATGGTGGTGCCCACCCCCTCCTGCAGGAGGGGAAAACAGTGAAGGAGTACGGGAAGGGTCTCAGAATGTGACCCACGGCACGGAAGTGGGAAAGGCTTGGAGGACGAGGGGGCTGGAAGAACCAGGAGCCTCACTCAGTGTCCCAGGGGGTCTGTGGGGCCTGGCAGCTGCTGCCCTCCTCTGTCATCTGCACCCACAGTGACACTGACTGACAAAGTGGCCTCACTCAGTTCCCAAAACAACTCCATTATGGGTCTTGAATCCAGGGCTGGCAGAAGCTCCACTGGCCTGTCCAGGCTGGACCCCGGGGCCACTTGGGCATCTGTCCTGAGCTGGCTGGTGGCCCTCCCTGTGAGGTTGCCGTCCCTGTGCCTGGCCTGAGCTTGTTCCCAGGAGCACCTGGGGCCCTGCTTCTGCCTAAGCCTGGTCTGTGGTGTCCTCTCCAGGGGAGTAACAAGCCTGGGGACAGGTCAGAGTGCCTGGGAAGGGACAGGGCCCGGGAGGCCGCCAGCAGGGCCACAAGTGCACCCCCGGTGCAGTCTCGGGCCATAAGGAGGTGGTCACTGCTCTGAGAAGCCGACTGGGGATGGGAGCAGGGCACTGCAGGCAGGAAAGGCCCAGGGCGCCTGAGGAGAGACCCGTGGAGAGGCCCCACAGCAGGCCGTACCACTCCAATGGGAAGAAGTCGGGCACACTGCCAGGCTAAGCACACAAGCACCCCGGAGGCACCTGCTTCCAGCAGGGGATCTGGGTCTCCATGTGGCACTCCCACCCTTCACAGTTCCCTGGGCTGTACAGCATGGGGCCCCCCCACCCCGGACACCGCCTGTCTGTACGACCACGCAGGCAAAGGCTCAGAGCCCGGACCAGAACGCAAGCACACGGAGGCTGCAAGGGCGGCTGAGGCCACCCCCACCAGCTGCCCACCCCGTGGAGGCTGCCGTGGGCAGAATGAGGCTGCATTCATCTCCCGTGCAAAGCACCGCCACCCCGGTGTGGCTTAGGAAAGGTGGTGGGAAAGGGTCCTTGTGGCTTCTCCAGCTGCTGATGGCTCCAGGTGTCTGTGGCAGGAAGCTGCTCCAGTCTAACCCCTGCCTCGGGCTTCCGTGGCCTCCTGTGTTTCTCCCGTGTCACCTTAGCATCACCCCCTCTTCCCCCCACAGTGACCTTATCTGAGAGCCTTGTGATGCCCATAAAGACCCCTGCCAAGCCGGGTCCCCTCTGCAGCCCAGGTCAGGCAGAGGGCGTATCTGGGGGCCTCCAGGGAGCCCACACAGGCAGCTGCAGGGAGAGGGGTTCAGCTGTGGTTCCGGTGGGGCGCCCCCATCCCAGGGGCCCCAGCTCCTGTGCCCCAGCCTAGGCCTTCGGTGTGTGGGCGAGGGTGGGGAGCGGCACCCCTCCGCCCCTCCTCTGTCAGTGATCTACTGAGTCTGAAGTGGTGTCTTTTATTTTCAGGCTGGGGATTGAACCCAGAGCCTTAGGACTGAGCTGCACCCAAACTCTAGTTTTTATTTTTTATCTTGAGACAGGGCTTTGCCAAGTTACTAAATTGTCGGGGCTGGTCCCAAACTTGAGATCCTGTTGCCTCAGCCTCCTCCCACGGTGCTGGGATGACAGGCTCGCACCACCAGCTAAGCAGCTTCTTGAGGCCCCCTGCTGGTCATGTCTGGAAGCTGCATCTTCCCTTCCCTGTCTCAGCACAGTCCCGCCCTGGCCCTCGCTGCGCCTCCTCCTTCCTGCTCCCAGTGCAAAGCTGCCCAATCTTCAGAGCCTGGGTCCTCCCAGACCTGGCACCGGCATCGCTGGGGTGAGGGGTGCACGTGGGGAGGACTCAGTTGGCTGGCTGGCACCCTGCTTGCTCCCCTCTCCCAGGGCTGGGCTTCAGTGTGGACACGGGGGGCTTCCCGGAGCCCCTGCAGCCACCTGACCCCATCCCAGGGAGGCATGTTGGGGTTCACACCTCTGGCAGAGGCTAAGTGGGGTGCCGGGTGCAGCTCTTCAGAGGAGCACACTCCAAGCTCCACTCCCTAACCTTGCAGGGCTCAGCTTCTCCCCCAGGCCCCCGAGCCCAGGTGCTGCTGCCCAAAGCTCGCCGTGCACCCTGTCTCCCGGGGAACACAGGGCTCACCAGGCCAGGGCTCAGCCCCCACCCACCCGTACTTCTCTGAGTACTTCCTGTGTGCTGCATTGCCTGCTGCTAGGGGCAGGTGGGAGGTCGCTGGAGTCTCACCTGGTGGAGGACAGGGCAAGGGGCCTTCAGAGAGTTCATGCAGGGGCTCTTGCTCGCCCCATCCGGAGGACCACGCTGGCCCAAGGTCACTGCAGGCCGGTCTCTAGGACCACCATTGCCGCTCCCACGCAGAACACCACACCCAACCCCCTCCCCGAGGCTTGGTGATACCCACCCTGTGCTGGCAGGCATGTCTCCTGGCCCTCGGCAGGGTCCCCTCCCGGTCTGCCCAGTCCAGCTTCGGTTGGTCTGAGCCAGCCAGACCCTGAGATTCCTGGCTCTGCAGGGCCTGGAGTGAGGGGCTGTCCCAGCTGCCCTGCGCAGGGCACCCAGGACGAGGCCAAGCTTCCCGGGGCCACCACCCTCGCCCAGCATGGCCCCAGCTGTCTGTGATGAGCCCAGCCCAGGCAGGACTGGGCAGGCTGGGACACCTGCAAAGGGACCCAAGTCTGGCCCCAACACCCACACCTACCTCAGAGACCTCCACTGCGCTGGAAATGATTAAGAAAGTGATGGCGTAGTGGCACACGCCTGTAATTCCAGCACTCAGGAGGCTGAGGCAGGAGGATCGCTTCAAGCTCAAGGCCAACCTGGGCTACATAGGAAACCCTCTCTCAAAAAACCAAAAACAAACAAAAAACAAATAAAGTGAAGGCTTCTGGGCATTCTCATGCACACCTATAATCCCAGCACTCGAGAGGCTGAGGCAGGAGGATCAAGAATTTGAGGGTAACCTGGGCTTCACAGTCACTGTTCAGCCAGCCCTGTCTCAATCTAAAAGGAAAAAAAAAAGTGGGAGAGGCGGCAGTTCCTCAAGAAAGCCACTAGAGGGCGCAGATGAGTTGTCCTGCCTGAAGAGGGGACCGCTGGGGGGTGCGGTGCGTGATGCGAGTGCATGCATGCGTGTGTGCGTGTGTGCACGCGCGTGTACGTGAATGCCTTTGGGTGGGGGTGCGTTTGTGAGTTTGCGTGTGTTTATGAGTGTAGTGCGTGTGAGCGCATGTATACACCTGTGCCGGTGTGGGGGACCCGGGACCTCAGGGGCCTCGCGTCCCCACGTCCCATCTCCAGACACTGCAGGACCCCGAGGAGCTGGGCAGAGAAGGTGCCAGCCGCAGCATGGGCACAGGGCTCTGGG